GCAGATTCAGAACTCACAGATATGGAGGGCTGACTATACAGGTAAGGTGAGTAATAGAACACTTCTGGAAGAAGGAATAATGTGAAAAATTTAAAGTCACATCAAGGAAAACTTCTGTTGCTCTCTTAGGAGTAGAACATGGAAATTAAAGAAAGAACAGGGAAGAGACATGTATTGAAAATATTATTGAAAGTAATTCCCTAGGAGTAGATCATGGAAGTTAAAGAAAGAACAGGGAAGAGACGTGTATTGAAAATATTATTGAAAGTAATTCCCTAGGATCTTTGAGGCAATAAAAATATTTACAGCTTAAGTCTATTATACTGGGGGAATGGATTTGAGGAAAATACACCTCTGAGTAAGGAACACACTTCAGAAACAAAAGATAGTGAACCCTAAATAAAGCCCTGGTGACAGGTTTAACATACGTGTAGGTGATTATTACAAAGCAATACTTAGTAAAATCCGTAGGACTTGTTGATTGACCAAATGTGGGAGAAGTGAGAGCTAAAAGTCATGATGATTCCCAGGTTTGGGTGGCTGACTTGATGGACATATAAAGGAACAAAAAGAAAGATCATCAGATGGTGAGAAGAACAAAATTTCATTGTGATTGAGTTTGACTTTGAGGTACCCAAGAGAAATCTATGTAAGAGCTCAGTGAAGAAATCTAGGCTGGAGATTAATCATATTATAGATAGTAAAACCCAAAAAACTGTAAGTTCACCATGGAAAGAAAAATACAGAATTTTAAAAGAGGAGGATCAAGGATAAAACTCTAGGAGATGTTGGAGTTTAGAACATAAAAGTAGAAAAGGAAATGCAGAAATCATATTACTCTGAGAGAGAAGAAATAGCAGAACAATTAAATGGGGGAAATATTAACCTTTTCAACAAATGATGATAGGACCACTAGATACCCACATGCAAAGAATTAAGTTGGACCCCTATCTCTTACCGTACACAAAAACAAACTCCAAGTGGATCAAAGATAAAACAATAAAACTCTTAGAAGAAAATATAGACATAAATCTTCATGATCTTGGGTGAAGCAAAACCTTCTCAGATACCAAGAGCACAGTAACAAAAGAAAAAGACATGTTAATTGGACTTCATGAAAATTAAAAACTTTTTTGCTGAAAATGGCACCATCAAGAAAATGAAAAGATAACCCATGGATTGGGAGAAAAAATTTTCAAGTTGTATATCTAGCAAATAAATTGTATCCAGGATGTATAAAGAATTCTTATAATTCAGAAATAAATCATAAATGACAAAATTGGCAAGGAATTTGAAGAAACATATCTCTAAAAACTGTATATGAATGGGCAACAAGCACATGAAAAGATGCTCAGTAAGATTAACCATCAGGTAAACACAAATCAAAACCACAATGAGATACTACTCATACCCACTAGAATGTCTATAATAATGATAATAATAATAATAAATTAAAAATACCAAGTGTTGGCAAGGATGTAGAAAAATTGACATCTTCCTGTACTAATGGTGGGAATGTACAATGATACAGTTATTTTGGAAAGCAGTTTGGCAGTTTCTCAAAAAATTAAACATAGTGTGATTATATGAGTCAGGAATTCCTCTCCTAGTTATATTCCAAGAGAATTGGAAACAGATGTTCACAAAGGAATCTTTATGTGGATGTTCATAGCATATAGGCAAAACATGGAAATGACCCTAATGTCTATCAATTGATGAATGGATAAATACAACGTGGTATATCTCTACAGTGGAGCATTATTCCGCAGTAAAAAAGAATGAAATACTGATACATGCTACAACATAGATGAACCTTGAAATGATACTAAGGAAATTAGTTACATAAGGCCATATGTAGTATGATTCAATTTATATAAAATGTCAAGAATTAGGCACATCCATTAGCGACAGTAATTAGATTAGTGGTTGCCAAGGATGGGAGAAGAGAGAAAGAAGGGAGTGGTGGGTGACTGCTAGTGGGTATAGGGTTTATTTTGGGGGTGATGAAAATGTTCTGGAATTAGATAATAGTGATGCTTTCTAAACCTTGGCAATATATTAAAAATCACTTAATTATATACTTTGAAATGGTGTTTTGGGTACCTGAATTAAGGTACACAATAAAGCTCTTTTAAAAAAATAACCTCTGTGTCTCCCATTTCCAGCATTTTATGGAGACTACCCTCTCAGTGAAACTGCATGGCCTTTCTTCATGTTCTTTATCCAGACTTGGGTATAGTTACTACAGAAAACTTTTGCTGAGTTTAGTGTTGCGACTCAGTATAGGACAAGTAGTTCCAGCTGAGTGTCCTGTCTGCACTGCTACATTTTTAGCATTCATATACCAACTCTCTGGAGCCATAAAATCAAGTCTGGATTTGAGTTTTCCTGTGACAGTCTGGAAAGAATGTCATGGGTGATGGAGACATGTTCTTGTAGTTCCCTAAGAAGAAGTGTCTTCTGCTGGGAGGCAGATCTATACTGGAATTCATAATATAATACTTCAGTCCTCTAAAGCTGCAGGAATTTCCACAATCCCACTTAGCTTCACTGTCCAAGATGTGCTTGCCTGATGCTCCTGTGCCCTCCTAAGTTGGATGTCTTTTTTTCTGCTTACAGAAAATGCATAAAGGTCAACAAACCTTATGGCTTGTTATTGATATCCAGTGCAGCAGCACAACATAACTGTGAGACACTGTCAAAACAAAGTTCATTTTGGTGATTCCCTTTCTTGGTTGACAGCCTACGGCAGTCTGTTGTTCATGTTGCACATCTAATTTAAAGTAACACAATTTAGGGTGGGGAAAAGCTTTTCTTATGTAAGCATATTTTAAAAAACTCTTTCTCAAGAAAACAAATGTTTTGAAGTAATGCAGACTGAATTTGAATGCCATGTCCACTGTAGGAGTTACTGAGGGACCTTGAGCAAATTACGTAACCACTCAGTCACCTCAGCCGCAAAAGAGGAGAATGATAGGAATGACTACCACACTTGATTCCTATGATTAGCACACAATAAATTCAAAGTTGTTAGCTAACCAAAAATGTGTTGTACACATATGAGTGTTATTCCCCAGAGAGTAAGTAGTCATATGGCTTTGTTGAGTATACAACTCAAATGATCACCTTCTAAACTGAGCAGAGAATCTATTGTTAGATAATTCTAGCAGAAGCAAACTGAAATACATATTTTTCTTCAGAGTCAGAATTCTGTTTTAGGAAAGTGTAGTGCAATTTTTCTTTTTAAATGACATGCAATTCACAAGTGAGTTGATTTGTGTATTCCTAGTTATATCTGTTGTGGATTTTACTATGGCCCAAGAGGGTGGTATCCAGTTTACAAAAGTTATTACTCATCTATTTTGTTGGCTTGGTCTTTTTAAAGTAATATCTGTTCTGTATGAGTGTTTTAACTCCAGTCCCATTAGAAGCAAAAGCAAAAACAGATCGGTAAATTAGACAAAATAAAGCTTTATAGCAAATGTATTTTTCCTACAGGTAATGTCTTCAAAAAATAGACTAAAGGGGAAGTTTCATCTAAATTTTACTGTAAATGGCTAGCCCCTGAAAAAACTGGAATATGAGCTGAGCCATCTGGATAGGAATTCCTGGAGAACATCTGACCTTTGCCCTCTAGGGTCTCCTTTACCCTCTAGGGTCTCTGATGCATGTCAACCTCTATTGAACATCAACTTTGTGTTAATCACTGAGTTTGTTATGCTAAGTATGATGTTCCAGGCAACAGCAGGGTTTGCTTAAGATTTAGAAGAACACAGTTCTTTGTTGAAAAAAAAAAAAAAATACAGCTCAGATCTTGATGAGATCTTTTCTCATCTCTATGATAGGGACTATTTATATTTCTCTCGGTTGGCTCTTGAAACAATCAAATGAAACAATGTATGAAGTAGAGCTTTACAAACATTCATTTAACAAGGTTATCCTGCCAGAATACCCTTGTTGTAAAGATCCTAGAATCGAACATCTTGGTAGATGAAGTTGACACTATTTTCTAGGATTACTTCTGCAAAATAGAGTTCTATTATTTCATTTTTCTAATTAATTTTTCAAAATAAAGCTTACTAAATATCAGATGTTCATTAAAGAAAATTTGGAAACTATAGAAAAAAATGACAGATAAAATCTTCTGCCTTCCAATACCACCACTCCGAGTTAATTACTAACATTTTGATGATTTTCTCAGTTATGTTTCCTCACCTGAAGAAAAGCCACCCTTTAGGTGAGTGAACCTGGGACACCAACTCCAACCCCACTACCCGTTGGTGGTACAAACAGAGAGAGTCACATTGAAATTATAGGAAGGTCAGAAATTTTCAAATCACAGAAACAGACGTCTTAACTGTCTGGAAACCTCTTTAGAGTCCACGCTTGCGGACTAAGAAGCTTGCAATGGCAATACGGTCTCAGGGTGCATTTCTGGACGCTGCTCGCTCCTACTGTCCTTCCATTCGCATCAAACGAGTCATTATGCATTTTTAATTAGAATAATATTTTAAACATTCTCTCCAGAGCAACGTTTTTACAAACACTGTTTAATCAAGTGAGGGGCGCCTGCCTATGACTCTAGCCTCCAATAGCCTTTTCCAGTGAATTTTGTTTCACCTCCTGCCGCGAACGCCGGTTCAGTTACTGGCAGATTAGATTTCTCTCCTGGACCCCGCCTCACCCTTCCCTATCCTATGGAGAAGCGGGAATAAAAAGATCAGCCCCAGGCGGGCGTGCAGCTGAGTGAGTGCAGCCCGTTGACCGGAGCGCGCGGGTCCATCGCTGGGCACCCCCTCCCTCTCCCCGCGCCGCCCCCAGCGCGAGTGACAACGCGCCCTCGGGTCTCGGGAGCTGGGGCGGCGAACAATCCCGGGCAGGGCTCGCCTCGCCGGTGACATCACTCCCGAAGATACTCCCCACTCTCAGCGCCTGCCTTCGCAAGGAGTCCGTCCGTTTGCTAGTCGGTTTCCTTCCGTCCGCTGCTGGAGAGGGCTCATTGCTGGCCGGGGACAGAGCCGGGCACTGAGGAGCGACAGGACCCGGAGGACGAGGAGTGAGAGCGCAGGCAGCGAGGAAAGGAGGATCCCGGCAGGTGACAAGCATGAAATTCAGCCCAGCGCACTACCTGCTGCCTCTCCTGCCGGCGCTGGTCCTCAGCACCAGGTGAGTCCAGGAGCGTGAGTGACCTGAGCTGAGGGGAGTTGCCGGTAGGTTGGTCCAACCGCAGGTCACCTGTGGAGGCCAAGGACAGACACTTCAGCTGTTTGCATCTCCCGCCTAAGTTAGGGGGGTCTCTCTATAATTCGGGCTCTGAAATCCTTCTGAGGGAGTAGAGCCCTTTTCTAGTTATCCTAGCCCTTAAAGAAATCCTCAGTATTCCTCCCAGTGAGGGGACCAAGTGTTCCTTCCAAAGCCACGTTTCCCTCCAGCGCTAGTAGTAACAAACAGATAACACGCGGTAAGAAACGAAATAAAGAAAGGAAATTAGACAAGGAGAGTAATGTCACCAGACAATCTCTGTATACATCGGAGCTGTCTTAATAGCCACAGCGCTTACCTCCTCCCCCAAGTGTGTCTGATTTTAAGGCACAGGGAACCAGAGAAAAATGACAAATCTTGGGAGATGGTTAGCCTTGCACAAAGTTCCTGGACTTGTGAATCATACTGTTTTCATGTCTTGAGTAGGCTTAGTGGCAGGCACTTTCCTTTGGCTGTCTTGTGAACAGGTCTAATTAAAGAGCACACAAGACGATTAAAAGTTAGAAGACAGTCTTAGAGTGCTGATGCAAGGACCGTAGTCAGAAACAATTAAGTACTGTATTCCATCCCTGGCCATAGATGGGACTTTAAGCCCAAGCACAGAGGAGCTATTTTTAGTGGAGGTTTAAAATGCGTTGATTGAAAAGAGTTTTGTGATTCCCCACTGTTGATCAAGTCCCAAAGTTGGTGATGGGTTTTCATTCTTCTTCCACAAGAGCAGCACAAAGGTGGACTGTTTTCGTTGCCCAGGACTGAGCCTTTATTCTGCATGGCCTGAACATACTGGCAGCAACCTCTCTGCCTTGGCTACTATAAAATAAAATGACCCACACAGGATAAGGATCTTTTCAAATCTATGTGAATGGAAACATTATCTGATTATATTTCTGCTGGAAAATGAAGAGGGGAAATAGGATTATATCTAATTCTGAAATTGAGAAGTGTGAAGGAAACTCATTATGTATGAAAAGTCAGGGCAGCAAAATTCTTGATTCCATTCCTAACTGACACACCCTCTTTCAGGCTCTTGTAACCAAACTTTCCTTCTAGTGTGTGGACTGTTTGGTTTAGCCCCAGCAGTTGATGAACTTAGTCTCTGCTTGCAAACAAAGCCCAGGTGACTTTCCCAGACTAAAATGGAATATGAGCTGTATTCTTTATTTTCTTTTAAGGTTGCTAGTCACTTGAGTTCACAAACGGCAGATGGTTTTAAAATCACTTTGCTTCCCGGTACTATAATAACGTGCTCCAATAACAGCCCATTTTAGTATTTGTTTCTAGCTCTACACTCAGTGCTAATCATGCATAATTGTTATTTTTTGAAGTGTCTTGCTATTTACTCTGAACTCTTGTGTTGTGGTTAATAATTACTTGTGAATTTTTCTAGAGAAAGGAAATTCTCAAAGTTTGGGGCATTTAAGTATATGCCTGTCAATATATGCAGAGAATAATAAATATTTAAACAATGGAAGCCCTGCCCACAATGATTTTTAAGTACAGTGAATCTCTAGTGTTCCAAAAGTACACTTGCTTTTTAAGGATACTATAATTTAAGTGGCTCAGAAATCGAAGTTTTAATGTTGGTTATATACTACTAGTGCAGTGTAGCTAGTGCAGAAAAAACAAAGAGCCATCACCTTATAAAAGTGTTAATTTTTATAAGGATAAATTTTAAAAAGTCAATGCACTTTTCACAACAAAAGTCGAATTAGTCGTTCCTAGTTTACTTTAGATATGAAACTGCTGCAGTGTTGGTTGTATGTGAAAGCTGTGACAAGTCTTCTTTAAATTTTCCCTCTTGCCAACTCAACCAAAAGAGCATGCTGGGCTTAAAAAAGCGAAACTTTTCCTAATCGGTGGCATGTCTTATTATTGTGATTACTCTGTAACAATTTACTGTACTGGATACCCAGATTACCTTGTGACAGTGAGAGAACTTGACAATGAATTGGGTACTATCAATATGTCATTTTGCAAAGAAGAGCTCATGTTTCAATTGACTCTAACAGAAGGCCATTCTCTTTGGTAATATTTAAGAGTTCTTGTACACATTTGGTTAATGTGCGCATTAGAACCTAAACTGAACAGGTTTGCAAGAACAGTTGCATTAGTAGAGGTGCGCTTATTGCCCGGCTGAGAAAAACTGTGTAGCTGAACCATGACCACCTGTGACAGTAGGCTTTCTAGCCAAAGACTTATGCAAACTTAATTTCTTAGTCAGTGGTGCTGTATGTGAAGCAAAAGGCATTTCACATGCTTCAATTGTGTTGAATGCACTAGCAGAGGGTGGCATTTGCTAAATTTTCCTATTGCCTTCAGGTGTTATCACTTGTCATTTATTATTAAGTTCTTTTCAAAGTGTGGAGAACACAGATCTGCGACTCCTGGTGCAAAAAAAAAAAATTATTTGCTTCAACATCTCTTTCTGGGCATAGCTCTTTAATACCTTGCTATTATCTTTCCAATAGGTCTAAGTTCAGTTCTGTTTTAAGGTTAATGAATGTGTTCACTAAAGTAAATGCTGCAATTAGAGAAAGATAGTTACCGTAAAATAGTATTATATCCACAGGGATGAAAACTCTAAAACAATTCTGTCTTTTAAATACGAATTTTTGAATAGCTTTCTGTTTTTATTTTTCCCTTATCCCTGCGTTTTCTGTAGCAACTTTATATGCCAAAGCACAAAAATTCCATAATTTTCACCAAAGTGAACATCTATGCCCCCCCAGTCAGAGTTACTTCATTTGTCCTGAAAGAAAGCTAAATGTTCACCTTCAGCAATAGCCAAGAACTGTTCTCTGTTTTGCTGCTGA